ATATTATCTGAAATAAAAATAGATATGCCAGCTTGTTTTTTTTCCATTGCCCTGGAATATCTTTTTCTAACCTTCCACTTTCAGTTTCTGCACATCTTTTTTGATGAGATGTGTCTTTTACAGACAACGGAGAGATTTTCTCATCCAGTCCATTAATCTATGGCATTTGATTGATGAGTTTAACACATTTACATTCAGGGTTAATATGGATAGGTACTAATTTGGTCCAGTCATTTTAGCAATGGGTTGTTTATTGTTTGACTTAGTCATCTGTTGTCATTTTACTGGATGTTCTCCATGTTTGCCTTTGGTTTTAATAAGTGTTATTCCTTTTCGCTGTCAAGAGAACATCTTTAAGCATCATTTGCAAGACTGAGAGAGGGGAATTCTTTGAGCTTTTTTTATACTGTGGAGGAATTTTCTCTCACTTTCAAAGACAAAGAAAAGTTTTGCCACGTAAGTTATTCTGGGCCAACAATTTTCCCCCCTTTAAAATCTGGAATATTTCATTGCCTTCTCTTTTGGCCTGTAGTTTCCTCTGACAGGTCAGTTGTGAGTCTGATTGGGACTCCTCTATATGTTAATTGACTTTTCCACATGCATATTTAAGGATCTTTTCTTTATGTTCTGCTGAAGTGAGCTTGATCATCATGTGTCATGGTGAAGATCGCTTTTGTTCAATCCTATTAGGAGTTCTGTATCCCTTTTGTATGTTGTTTCCCAATTATTTCTCCATATTAGGGAAGTTTTCATTTATTATTTCATTAAATACACTTTTAAACCCAGCTACTCTTTCTGTGCTTTCTGGAACTCCCATAACTCTGATATTCAGCCTTTTAATAGTGTCCTTTAATTCTTGAATACCTTTCTTTCTTTTTTTTTTTTTATTGACTTAGTTCCTCTTCCAGCTTTTTGGTTGTTTTTTATTGTGGCAGGAAATATCTTCCAAATCTGAGATTTTTTTTTTTCTGCCGCACTCATTCTATTATTGAGGCTTTACACTGCATTTTTCATTTGCTCCATTGTGTTCTTAATTTCTAAGATATCAGCTTTCATTTGATTCATTGCTATTTCCTGTATAACATATTCCTTAAATTCCATTAACTCCTCTATATGCTTCTCATTGTTGATAAGTTTTATAACAAGTTTTCTAAATTCTTTATTCCCTATTTGCTCAGCGTACTTCTCAGTTAACGCTGTGGTTGGCAAAGGTTTTTTTTCTCCTTTGCATGGGAGGCATCAGTAATAGTCATTGTGCATCTGTCTTCTTTTGCTCTTGGGCATTGCTATTCTGGTTTGCAGATTCTTCTCCTTAGGACAGCTTTCTATACTGTGTTGCTCACAGGTCTACAGGTTGATTTGACTGATTGAGTTTAGTACCCAGTTCTTTGTTTGCAATCACTTGCGCCACTCCCCCCAGCAAGTTTCAGTCCCAGGCTCTCGTGCTGGGCTTCTACCATGGTCTCTGTGATCCCGCACAGCATTTCTGCCACTCCCAGACCAAGCAATGCTTGGGATTAGGGAGATACCAGCTGTCCTAAATTACTGGGTGCTGGTCTTGCTGGAACCTGCTGTCTGTTAGGTCTGGTGGCCACCCAGACGTATTTTGGGTGGAACCCATATGATGCTATGTCAATACTGGTTTCCCTTGGGACCAGTGTAATGCACTGGGTTAGAACTGAGTTCACTCCTGGCTTAGTGCATGTACAGCTCACTGTTGTCCCTCTGGTCCTACAGCCTTTGCCACAGTATACAAAATGGCTCCCAATGCGATACTCATGGGGGTCTGGACTGTGAAATCCACCCTGTTCCTGTACTGCTGCTTGGGGGCTGCTGCTCTGTCTCTGCTCCTGGTCAGATTAAAACAAATAAGCAAGACAGGCAGTTCTTTGAGTGAGTTCTCCTCCTGATCTCTTGGTGAACTCCCCTTCCTGCCTGGTTGCTGGTAGAGCTCCAATCACTGACATCGACAGCTGACCACTGCTCAGGTATCTGGTCATTGCAACACTGCTCCGTTGTCTCTGTTGCTTCCCTTTGTGGGTCTCCAGGTGCCCCTCTGCTACTGATCTGTTCTCTCCTATTTCCTGGAATCTGTCCTCTCTGCTTCACCTTGGCTAAATTGTTCTCCAATCAATTTATACCTGACCTCACTGTGTACTGTCATCCTGCTGTCCTCATGACCACTTTAATGCCATGATGACAGTATCATTGTTTCAGCACAGGTCACCCTCACAGAGCAGAGGGGTCCCACTAGGAAGGTTGGGCTCTCTTTCTCCCATCTCGGGCTCCATCTGTAACCCAGAGACATTTGCCAGAAATTCAAATTCTCATTAGCATCAGATGGATGGTGAGGCTGCCCTGGAATGTTACACGTGGCACAGCTGGATGACTGCTGTGACCATGTGGAAGCATCTTCTCCCCTACGGCTCCTAAGTGGGAGGCATGGACATGGGGAGGAAGGCTGCATGCAACATGATCAAGGACAGTGATGCAGCATGGTCCCCTACCTGTACCTTGGAGCAACCTGCAGATGCAAGAGCATGCTGGCTTTGTCACTAAAGTCTGTGAGCTTGTCTAAAGAATCCTTGTGCTTGAAAGGCAGAGAGAGAAAGGTGCACAAAGGAGACACACAGGGAGAAACAGGAAGACAGAAAGAAAGATGAAGACAGGAAGGAGAAACACAGAAAGAGAATCTGCAGGTTCACTTCCCAGATGGCTCTAATAGCCAGAGCTAGTTCGGTTGGAAGCTGGGGTCCAAGAGCCTAACCTGCATCCCCCTCCCACATGGGCGCAGAGATCCATGGACTTGGGCCATCCTCCCCTACTTTCCCAGGTTGCAAGCAGTGAGCTGGATCGAAAGTGGAGCAGCTAAGACTTGGACCAGAGTCTATATGATATGCCAGCCCTTAGGATGTGGTCCCCACTGCATAGCCCTTTCATGAAGGTGTTTTCCATGGACTCGGGAAGGAAACCACACAACTTCACTTTCCTACATGGAGACCACGGCCAGAGCCCTACCTCAGGCAAAATAAAGGATATTGTCTGGGTGTCTCATGGCAGATCCGCTGCCCCAAGTGGTCCACACTCATGCCACTCCTGTGTGCACTGCCAGGCTGTGTGTGAGCAGTTTCAGTGCACAGTGAGGTGGCTGGACCTGCGAGGAAGCCCCACTCCCACCCAGTGCCTGCCACCCTCAGGGCCCTCTGCCCCTTCAAGGGACAGCGGGGCTGCAGTGTCCCACACCCTGGTCTGCACTGGGCACTACTATCCTGCAGGGTCCAGCAGGTCTCCCAAGCATGGTGGTGTTCCCCGTGGTCCTCCAGAACCGGGAGTGCAGTGCAGGCATTTCTCCTGCCTGTCTTTGTCAGCCTCGGCTACTCCAGAAGTGTGGCTGCACAGCCTGCTGGGGCCTGAGACACATGTGGGTGTGGACATGAAGAAAGGTTTCCCTATCTAGCTTCAAGGCTACCATGGCCTGCTTAGTCTGAGACACAAGTGGGCGAGGCGGTGGAATCAATTGTGTCTGCTCTAGAAGAAAGCTTTCCCACATCTGGGCTGAGGCTGTTGAGTCACTGTAACCCCATCCAGAGTTGTACGTGCCTCCAGGTTCCCCTTGCTCCCAAGGTGGGGCAGGGGATCTTTGGGGTGCTGGCTGGGAGAACAAGGGAGGACTAGATGAGGTGTAGGAGCTTCCACTTTCAGAAAGGTGGGGGAACAGGCCTTGATAGGAAGGCAGGGGTTGTGGATGCCAACTTGAGCACAGTGGCATATAGCGATAAGTGTTGGGGCCTTTGTTCCTAATGTCCACCAAAACTCTGTCACCCACAGCAGGACTAGCCAAGACTGAGCCATTGCCTGTGACTTGGGCTCCCCCAGCACCCCCAGCACATAGCCAGGCAGGGAGAGCCAGCCCTGCACCTGGGGTGCCTGCACCAGGTCCATTTGGGCACACTGTGGCTCAGCATGGAGCATCCATGAATCAGCTGATAGGGGAGTATCTTGTGCAGTTCTGTTCAGGGAGAGGTACTGTAAGGTGAGGGGCATTCCTGAGCTGCAACCCCGCTCCATCTTGCACCTTTTCCCTCAGCGTCTACGGGGATGAGGTCTGGCAGGTAAGTGTGGCAATAAGGGTCCTTCCTGGAACCTGCTGAGTAGTGTGGACATGGGGCCTGCAGCTCACAGGGTAGATCACCCAGGAGCCAAGGCAGGGTTCCTCATCACCCAGAGCCACAGCTGGATGGAAGGGAGTGGGGTGGAACAGGACAGGCGTGTCTGTCCATTACACATAGATTTCTCTGTCTACTCTCACTTATGCATAACTGCCAAGTGTGCAGCGTCACAGTGAGGGGACAGAAGTGTGTGGGTGCTCCTGGGCTGTGTGTGAGTGGGACAGGAGCACTTGTGTGAGAGTGCCAGGCTGTCAGAAGGGACGGAGCAGCTTTAGCCAATCCTGTGACAGCTCTGCTGCTCTTACCGCACCCTGTGGTCCTTGATGCTAGCTGCTGGGCATCCATGGTGTCACATGCCTCGTGTCTTGAAGCTATATACAACCATACTGTTCATTCTTAGAGAAGCAATTGACTAAAGTTAGGGGTCTCAAATTACACTCTGAGTACCCCTAACCCCTGTCCTGCCCCCTGGGTCTTGGTCATGGGAAGATCTTGGGAGAACAGCGGCTCCTGTCCTCTGCTATGTATGAGAATCCCCTCCCAGGGGCTGACTCTTGTCTCAATTTGCAACTCGATATCCAAGTGGGAGCCAGTGTGGGGGAGGAAAAGGTGCTGTGGTACCCTTACTGAGCGCCGTGCGCTCTCTCCTGCCCATCTTGTGCTGGGCAGACATCGCAGCAGGCGAGAGCACAGTGATCCCCACCCCTCGTGTGGAATGCTGCATGTCCCAGCCTCCCTGCCTGCGGTGTTAATGGCGCTTTTGTTCTGCCCACAGACCAGGCATATGCGTGGTCGCCTCCGCCACCGCCTTTCGATGAAGACAGCTACGCCCCCGCTCCCAGGAGCATGAAGGGGTTATCGGCCAGCCGCGGCGCCCCAGCGCTGTGTTCCGGCCACACCTGCGGCCTTCCACCGCCTGCAGACTGCGACCTAGGCCATGGGCACCTGCACCACACACCCGAGGTGCGGCCGCCCTACCTGCTGAGCCCCACGGACCGCTGCTCGCCACGCAGCTCTGTGCATTCAGAGTGTGTGGCAATGCCCGTGGCGCTGGGTGAGCCAGTGTCGAGTAGCACCTTCCCCAGGATGCACTACAGCTCGCACCACGATGCCAGAGAAGCCTGCACCGTGACCCACGCGGGCGCCAAGGCCCACCGCCTGCCAGCCACTCTGCTGGACCAGTTCGAAAAGCAGCTGCCTCTGCCGCGCGACGGCTTCCACACGCTGCAGTACCAGCGCGCACCAGCCGCCGAGCCACGCAGCGAGAGCCCGGGCCGCATCCGGCACCTGGTGCACTCGGTGCAAAAGCTCTTCACCAAGTCACACTCCCTGGAGGGTACCGCCAAGGCCGGTATCCACAGCGCCAGGGCAGACGGCCGGGCGGACGAGCGGCCCCACGGCGCTCACGCACGGCATGGCCGACGCAGCAAGAGCAAGGAGCGCAAACCAGAGGCCAAGCCGCGAGCCGGGCTTAGCAGCTGGTGGAGCTCAGACGACAACCTGGACAGCGATGGCACCTGCCGCACCACCGCCGCTGCACGCCTGGCAGCCTGCTACCCTGAGCCGTTGCGGGCCGGCCCCTTCGGCGACCTCTCCCTCAAGACCTCCAAGAGCAACAGCGATGTCAAGTGCTCAGCCTGCGAGGGCTTCGCCACCCCTGAGACTCGCTACATGAAGCGCAGCTCCTGGTCCACGCTCACTGTCAGCCAGGCCAAGGAGGCCTACCGCAAGAGCTCCCTGAACCTGGACCAGCCTCTCACCCACCCGGAACTCAAGCCTGCCCTGCGGCCATGCCACTACCTCCAGGTGAGAGCCCAGTATGCCTCAGGCACGAGGCAGAGCACCCTGGAGACACACCTGGGGAGGTGCACGGATTACACAACTCACAGTATGTACCGGTGGGGGTGGATCAGTATGTGTAGAAGGCTTTGCACACAGTGCATGTGGGGGAGGGTTGGCAGTGTGCGCGGGTGACATCGTACATGGGGATGGCAGTGTGTGCGGATGCCCTCATACACTGTGTCTGAAGAGACACGTATAATCGTGTGCTCAGGTCTCAGCGCTGTCTGGGAGCCCAGGATGCCTGTGGTGGCCATGGGCACTCAGGGTCCTCCTATCCCCTCCCCCATCTGCCTCAGAGCTGGCCCCTCAGCCTGCACGTGACCTCCTGACTACAACTCGCACAGTGACCCTCAGCCTCCTGGATCTCAGGGCTGCGTGGGGTCTCTCCAAGGTTGGGAGCCTATTCCTCTCCATGTTTCGTAGCATTCCCGTATGCTCCTGCTGCACACACTTGGTTCATTCACCTGTGGCTCCATATCCTGGCCTCTATTGGAGAGCCGTGCGCATTACCTAGGGTTCTGGACTGCTCTGGGGTCACTGGTCCACACAACCAGGTGTGGGAGCCTCTGGCCTGCTCTGGGGGTTGCGGTCCACACAGCCAGATGTCAGGATGCTGGCAAGGCAAGGCACACCTGCCTGTCTCCGTGATCTAGAGGGCAGGGCCCTCTGTGGGCAGAGCGGCCCTGCAGCCCATGTCTTGCAGCCCCTCACAGTCATCCCTACTCGACAGGACTCAAATTTGCCAGTTGTTGCAAACACAGGCAGAGACCCAGGGAGACACCTGCATGAGGAGGAAGTACAGGGGTGGGGAATTCCAGCTGGAATGGTGGGGTGTGGTCAGCTAGCCTGTGGGGCCGGGCTTGGTGGGATCATCAGGAGTCACATGGAGACAAGAGGAGATGGCAGGCATAGGGTGTGATCTTCCTTCCTTGTTCTGTTTGCTCAGGAACACCTCCAGGTCCTCCCAGCACCCACATTGCCCCGTCCATCACTGAGTTCCTGACCTCATGGCCACCCGACAGGCACCCTGCTGGGACAGGCCTTGCCTGCTCTCAGATGGGACACAGCGCCTGTGTAGGGCCTCCCCAGGGAAGCACGTGTGGCCCGGCTCTGTGCTTTGTATGCATGCCACATACACACCCAGTCTGTCTGCATCATGGAGGGTTTGGCATGTGGCTTTCTGCAATGTGCAAGGCTGGTTCTCAAACCCCTTTGTCCCTGGCAGCCCTCACCTCACCAAGTCACCCATGCCTGCACCATAATCAACACCAACACATGTGGCCGCCTCATGTGTGTCCCATGACTGTAATATCATCCTATATGGCAGTCTTATGTGACCAGGTGGCTATCCATGTGAGTAGTCTGTGTGACCAGGTGAGCCTCTTGTGTTACCAAGTGTGCATCCTGCATGACAGGTGAGTGACCAGGTGGGCATCCTGTGTGACCAGGTGGGTATCCTGTGTGACCAGGGGAGTGTCCTGTGTGACTAGGTGGGCATCCTATGGGAGAGGTGTCTGTGTGATGCATGACTAGGTGGGCATCCTGTGTGACCAGGTGAGCATTCTGTGTGACCAGGGGAGTGTCCAGTGTCCAAGTGGGCATCCTGAATGACCAGGTGAGCGTCCTGACTCCAGGTAAGTGTCCTGTGTGACCAGGTAGGTGTCCTGTATGACAAGGTGGGCGTCCTGTGTGACCAGGTGGGTGTCCTGTGTGACCAGGTGAGCATTCTGTGTGACCAGGGGAGTGTCTTGCGTGACCAGGTAGGCATCCTGTGTGACCAGGTGGGTGACCAGGTGGGCATCCTGTGTGATCAGGTGGGCATCCTGTGTGACCAGGTAAGTGTCCTGTGTGACCAGGTAGGTGTCCTGTGTGACCAGGTAAGTGTCCTGTGTGACCAGGTGGGTGTCCTGTATGACCAGGTGGGCGTCCTGTGTGACCAGGTGAGCATTCTGTGTGACCAGGGGAGTGTGTTGCGTGACCAGGTAGGCATCCTGAATGACCAGGTGGGTGACCAGGTGGGCATCCTGTGTGATCAGGTGGGCATTCTGTGTGACCAGGTGGGCATCCTGTGTGTCCAGGTGGGTGACCAGGTGGACATCTGTGTATTCAGGTGGGTGACCAGGTGGGCATCTGTGTGTCCAGGTGAGTGACTAGGTGGGCATCCTGTGTGATCAGGTGGGTGGACCAGTTGGGCATCCTGTGTGATCAGGTGGGTGACCAGGTGGGCATCCTGTCTGACTGTGGCCATGACATGTGTGTGGCTATCTCACATGGCTGTCCTACATGGCCATGTAAACATGTGGCTGCATGGACCATGAGCATGGCCATGGGGCTGTCTCCTGCGCTGACACTGAGTTCCTGCTCTCTCCTAGGTGCCTCAGGACGAGTGGGGCGGGTATCCTGTGGGCGGCAAGCAGGATGAGATTCCCTGCCGCAGGATGCGCAGCGGGAGCTACATCAAAGCCATGGGTGATGAGGAGAGTGGTGGCTCTGACTCCAGCCCCAAGACATCCCCGAAGGCTGCCCGGCCAGAGCCCCTGCTGAGGCCTCTGGGTACACGGCCACTGGAAGACCTGCACACGTAAGCACTCCCTTCCTTGGGACACTGGCGTGCTCCCAGAAGACATGCACTCTGGCATGTTCCAGGGCCTTACTCAGTGTGGTTCTGTGACACTGATGATTTCCTTCAAGGAGCACATGAATGCCTGCCATGTGAGTGCATGATGCCATGTGAGCGTGTGCCTGCTCTGGGGGCATGTACCTGCTGTGTGTGAGTGTTTGTGCCTACTGTGTGAGTATTTACCTGCTGTGTGAGTGTGTGCCTTCTGTGTGTGAATGTGTCCCATCATGTGAGGTGCATGCGCATTGTAGATATCTGACAGGATTTCTGCCATGTCTCTGTAACTGCATCTCTAAAGCTCAGTGTCTACATGGGGGAGTGAAGTAGCTTCAGGAATAGATCCTCAAGGTCGGTTCTGTTCACTAAAATACATGTTACTCCTTAAACTCATTTACCAAGAATGAGCAGAGAAAGCTGGGAGGGCAGCACAAACCTGAAGGACATGGCTGTGGTCCCACTGTCCTCCTACCATGCATCCACTCCTTGCCACAACTGTGGTCCTGCTGTCCTGCTGTATGTCTACTCTAGACGTGACCATAGACCCACCATCCTCCTATGCATCCACTCCTGGCCAGGACATTTTGGTGGAAGCTGAGCATGCTGGGTCTTGCCCGCTTTCCCAGGAGAGCTGACCAGAGAGTGGAAGGAGAAGCAGTGTCCTAGCTGGGTGCTAGCAGCTGGAAGTTACAGCCTGTGACAGGTGACTTCCCCAGGTTCTCCTTTAGGCACAGGCACAGCAAGGGCACTGTTTCCTGTCATGCGTCCAAGGACCCATTGGCCTGTTCACACCCTGAGTGGTCAGCTGAATCACGAACAGGTCTTACCTCCCTCCTATCTAAACCCTTTTTATGCCTTGATCAGTGCAACACGAGTGCTGAAGTGTGAACACCTGTGAGAAGCACTTCAGCTGACAGGGTCCTGCTTGTAGAGTGGGAAAGACCACTCCAGGGGCTGGAGGAACCTACTCAGCCTGTATCAGCAGCTCCCAGTGGATACTGGTGGCTGACAGGTTAGTCCGGAAATGTGATCTGGCAATGGCAGGAAAGCCATGGGACCAGGGGAGGACTGGCAGCACACAGGGGTGAGCTCAGCCACCTGAGGTTCACTCCATGCACTGCTGGTCAGCTCTCTACATGGTCAGCTTCCATCAGTCCTCTCTTGCTGAGGATGCCAGGTCTGGACTGTGGACTTGAAGACAACAGCCAGGGTGTGCTGGCCCCTCACAGGGTGCTCTTCCAAATGCCTGAGACAACCCGTCACTGCCCTCAGCCAGCCTCAGGAGTCACTGCTTCCCAAGGGCAGTTGGCAGAGGGTCTGTCCCTGGAAGGGACGGTTGGCAGAGGGACCACCCATGTCACTGCCGGGGGCAGAGCATGGCTGGCAGAGGGACTGTCCATATCACTGTTATCAGTGGGAAGAGGGGGTCAGCAGAGGGTTCATCCGTGTCATTGCTGTCCCTGGAAGGGGGGTCAGGAGAGAAACCGTCTGTGTCACTGTTGTCTCTGGAAGAGGCGGTCACCAGAGGGACCGTCCGTGTCACTGTATCAGTGAGGGGGCGGTCGACAGAGGGACCGTCCGTGTCACTGTATCAGTGAGGGGGCGGTCGACAGAGGGACCGTCCGTGTCACTGCGTCAGTGAGGGGGCAGATGGCAGAGGGACCGTCCGTGTCACTGCATCAGTGAGGGGGCGGTTGGCAGAGGGACCGTCTGTGTCACTGTATCAGTGAGGGGGCAGATGGCAGAGAGACCATCCGTGTCACTGCGTCAGTGAGGGGGCAGTCAGCAGAGGGACCGTCCATGTCACTGCTGTCCATGGAAGGGGCAGATGGCATTGCCCAGTGACCCCTTGGCTGGGTTAGGGAAGCATGTTCAGCAGCTGGCTCTGTCAGCCCTGCTCGGCAGTCATGTCACACAGCACCACAAACACTGAATTTGGAAGCCTGCCTTGCAGGTGGCCCAGAGCCTTTCCCTGGCTACATGTGGTGCTCCATCCAGCTCTGGCCCTCGGAGGCTTCATATGTGTCCTCAATGCAGCTCTTTGGGGGGGAGCATGTCCAGACTCCAACTGGGATACAAGACAACCAGTCCTTCACTGACAGTAAGGAGATACCACACTGTACCCCAGCCTGCAGGGTTCCCAGTAACTGTGTCACTGGGAGGAACCCCCACAGAGTACATCTAAATGTCGGCAGACCCTCCCTACATGGCCTTAGAGGCATTGTTACCAGTCAATAAATACTGGTTATCCACTGGGAAGTTGCAGATCCATAATGCATATCCAAGCTGCTGGAATAAACAATTGTTTTGTTATGAAAGTAGAGCAGTTTCATCGGGGGACCTTTGCTGCTTCTTATGCTTAGTTGCTTTAAAAAGACAAAGTTCCAGTCATCTCCAAGCATGTATTGACAAAAACAGTGTTGCTGGGTCTCACTCACATGTCAGTGCTGCACACACATGTGCTGGCCACATCACATGTGCTAAGGATGCTGGCCTTACTGCCGGACACCTCCCTCCTGGCCCCGCATCCTCATCAGCATCCCGACTGGGTCTGAGGACAGTTGCCCTGATGAACAAGTTGATGTGTGGTTCTGGCTGAGGTTTCTTACCTGCCAGGTTTCACTGAGTACTGCTTGACGTGTTTGTCAGCTGTATCTATGTGTTTTGGGGAGACCCTCTGTCCAGTTCCTGTGTCTGTTGCCTAGAAGTATTGGCTGGGGTTTTGTCATTGATGGTCCCTTTCATATTCCAGATATTAGCCCTCTGACAGGTTTGGAATGTGCATGGTTTCTCTGCTCCGTCAGTGGTCTCCTCATTTGGTTGTTTGATGTGACTCCGTGTGCCTTGCTTTGCTTTACCACCTGCACTTTGGGGTTCCTTTCTTGAAGTCACCCTGTTTTCTTCCAGCTTTTCCTGACTTCGGGTCTTGCATCTGATCAGTGTATGTGATGAGAGCAAGGAATCTGACTGTCCTGTAAATGTGTGGCCACTTTGACAGCCCTGTTTGGTGAATGGCCATCTTCCCTGATGGTGCTCTTGGTGGCTTTGCCAGCAGCCAGGTGGCTGGTGACTGAGGGAACTCCTGGGCATTCTGCTGTGTCTCCTGACTGCCCATGCCAGGCATCTCCAGTCACTGCCGCTGTGCAGGCGGCTGCTGTGATGCCAACACTTGATGTGCGTGGTGCAGGCATCAGCTGTTCCAGGCCTCCTGTTCTGAACAATTCTAGGCTCTTGTTCTGACATGGAAAGGAGGCACTGGTGCCGTGTGTTGGTTGTTCACTGGTCTGTAGCTGGGGCTAGTAAACTTGAATATTCTAGAATCTGGAGCTTGAATGTGATTTGATGTCTGTGAGACATGACCCCCATACGTTGTGATCCCTCCATACTTGCATGGCCTGATGCCCGTGCCCCATGCTCCCTTCTATGCCTACAAGACCTGGCACCCATGCTCCCTTCTGTGCCCACGTGGCCTGACACCCATGCCCCATGCTCTCTTCCATGTCCATGTGTCCTTCCATGCCCATGTGCTCTGATGCCCATGCCTTGTGCTCCCTTCCATGCCCACGTGGCCTGACACCCATGCTCCCTTCCATGCCCACATGCTCTGATGTCCATGACCCGTGCTCCCTTCCATACCTGTGTGATCTAGTTCCCATGCTCCACTCCATACCCACGTGGCCTGATGCGTATGTTCCATGCTCCCTTCCATGCCTGAGAGGCCCAACACCCGTGCCCTGTACTCCCTTTCATGCCTGAGCGGTCTGATATCCATGCCCTATGCTTGCTAAAGTGGGAACATGGTGCACTCCTCAGATCACACATCAGTCTCACTGCTGGTTACCTGCACACATGAGGACAGAATGAGCACCTCAAACCATCTATGTGCAGCCATGACTGTCACTTTCCTGGTGGCCAGAAGGGAACAGATGCAGCCTCCCTGGGACTGCCTGCTTCTAAATAAACAATTGAGCTAATTGGCCACCATCTGCTCCCATAGAGCTGCTGCCACCTGCAACTGATGGTTTTCATTTTAGCTGAAAGGAGCCTGGAAGCATTTCTGTGCCAAACTGTGCCATGCATGCTGCCTCATGCCAGGTTGTTAGGCCAAACTGGGATCATACTGGCACCTACTGTGTGGACTTGTGGCTCCTGGTAGGAGCAGATGTCTGTCTCCCTGGACAACAGGTGACCTGGGGGTCAGTGCTTTCCGGGTGGTCAGCAGGGGATCCACAGACAACATCCTCACAGGCAAGGCATGAGGTGTGAGGTGTACTCCCACAGGAGGGAGCACAGCCCTGCAGATGCCAGCCCCACTGAGGACCCCCGAGACTTCCTACATCAGTGGCACGTATGGCGTAGCCCACTCTGGTCACAGACGTGACCTGTGTGGGTGTCAACATGGGTGGGTACAAGAGGAGCCACTGGAGCTGCCCAGGCATGTGAGATGTGGAGTGGGATTCTGCTTGTCCTACCCGGGATCCCACACCCTCAGCATCTGCTCAGATGGATGCATGCATCAGCCATTGCCTGCTGCCAGTTGAGCCTAGCACTGCATCTGCGCTGCTTGTACAGGCTGTGGTGAAGGTGAGGGCTGCCAGGCTTCCCACTGACCAGTTTCCTATGGAGTCTCCCTCTCTGGGCTACACTCTGGTGGATGCTGGAACACTGGTGACGAGACCCCCAGAATGGGTGGCAAAGGTGCTGAGAGCCCGTCCTCATCCTGTTGCTGCCCAGAGGGCTGCTGGGGCACCAGAGGGGGCATGTCTACTTGTAAAGAGTTGAAAAGCACAGTGGGGGTGCAGGTCCCAAAAACAAGGGCCTCCTCTCCTGTCAAGTGGTGGAACCCAGGCTGTCATGTCCTTACTGCCAGGGCCTGAGCCACACGTATGACTTGGTAGTGTCCTCTGCCTGCATTCTCTACACCACTGTGAGTGGCCTTGGGGGCCTCCTTACCAGTGTTCCGGCACCCACCAGAGTGGTAGTGTGGCCAGTTGTCCAGGCAACAGCTGAGTGCCCATGGACCCTGCCCCTGCACGGGCAGATGGATGGAAGGAGTGGCAGATGAATCTCGGGGGTCGGGTGGCCTCCCTCCTACTGGATGTGGGCCTGACTGTGCCCCAGAACACTGCCCACCCCCACAGAACCCCACTCGGCCCAACCCGGCACCTGCCACACCTGCCATGAGCACCTGCTTGCTGTGCCCAGTGGTGCCCAGAGTGGCCTACACCTCAGTCACTGCAGTGCTTCACCACATGCTACCCCCTCCACCAGGCCATGTCTGCTCCTGTCCACCCTGGTCCCCAGGCACACAGACAGCGCCTCACCAGCCTTCCAGATCCCACAGCCCTGTCGGCTATCCTGGCCAGCATCCTACACTCAGCCAGCCCAGGCTCCTCAGCCGAGCCCATCCCAAGGGCCCAGTCAGCATGGATGCCTTATGACTGTCAGAGAATTCCTGTTGTGGGAATTTTCCACTCATAACTCTGTAGTCTCATGTGGAGCAGTTACACTTATTTTTGTCTTCCTCCATTTCCTGATTTGATTCTCATGTTCTCAAAGAGAAAGGCAGTATCCATTCACTTTTATTACCCCATAGTTATCAACACAGTGACTACCTAATGAACACAGCTACCAGTTGGGTCCAGACCACATCCTGTCCCAGAGGGCAGTCACAGCTGGATGCTGTGTGCTGTCCCATGGGGCAGTCATGTCTGGGTCCTGATCATGTCCTGTCCCACAGGGCAGTCACAGCTGGGCATTGTGTCCTGTCCCATGGGGCAGTCATGGATGGATGTTGGGTCCTGTCCCATGGAGCTGACCCGAATGAATACTGAATGTCCTGTCCTACAGGCCAATCATGGCTGGATCCTGATCAGGTCCTGTTGCATGGGTCAATCACGGCTGGGTCCTGACCATGTCCTGTCCCATGGGCCAGTCACGCTGTATCCTGACCATGTCCTATTCCACGGGCCAATCATAGCTGTGTCCTGACCAAGTCCTGTCCCACGAGGCAGTCATGGCTGGGTCCTGACCACATCCTGTCCCGCAGGGCAGTCCTGGTGGATACTGGGTCCTATGCCATAGAAGGGGACTTGACCCTCCCAGTGCCCAGCTATGGCACCACTGCTTCATCTGGGGCCTGCAGGGACTGGCAGTCTCATTTCTGAGGTAACAGAGGTTTGGGCTGGTGGACCTCATGGCGCTGCCCTGCGCAGCTCCCAGCTTGCCCAGGGAGGGAAGGGTTGTCACGTCCACCCCACTCTCCTGCTGGTTCTGGGTTGCCCAGGGAGTGGTCATCTGCCTTCCCAGGATTAGAGTGGCCACCTGAGGCACCAGGTACCATGCTGGCACTATGAGGGCTACAGCTTCTGCCCCAGCTCAGCCCAGAGGGGACTGGGGCAGGAGCCACTTTGCAGAGAGCAGATGCCAATAATGAGGGTCCAGAGCATGAAGGACCAGGCAGAGGCCTTTCCAATGAAAACAGGGCTGTGTAGCATTATGACTGAACTCAGGGTGACCATTGTAAGACTCTGCCAAGGCCAAGACATTGTACATGCATGCAGTGGGTAAAGCTTCAAGTTCACAGAGAAGTTGATGAGTGGGACCCTCAAAGCCAAGAACCACAGGGACTGAGCTGGCTTTGGGGCCCGACACCAGGTGGGAGCAGAGAACCACGGGACTGAGCTGGCTTTAAGGACCCACACCAGGTGCACAGGAAGCAGAAAGAAGACCACCCATGCCTGTGGAGGCCTCTGGACGGTACCACAGAGACGCATCTTACAGGATGGCCAAGAGTATGCTGAGACAGTGCTGGCTCAGATCCCAAAATCCAAGACCCTTCCAGTGCCAGCATGCTGCCACCAGTGGAAAAATCCACACTGGGAAATTTGGTTTCATGCACAGAACTATTCTGAGATCTGTGACATTGCCATCAGGCTCTGCTGTGAGACGTATATGGCACACACAGGAACTTCTGACACTGCAATCTCATCCCCCAAGGTACCTTGTCACATAGATACAGAGTGTCAAAAATCTGAAATGCTTCTGGCCCAAGCTTTAGATGAAGGATACCCAGGATGTGAAGGTTTAATACCCCGAATGCACCAGGAATTGCTGCAACTGGAAACCCAGTTACTGCGTGAGCTGTGGTGTTGAATTGTCACTCACATGGGCACAGGTGTCCTTCTAGAAAGTTCAGTTAAGAGCCATGAGGAAAATCAAGTGAAAACCACAGCAAGATGCAGAGCTGCTACTGTGTTGCTCATGCAACCCCAGGCCATATGTACTCCAGACAGGCAGGCCCAACATGCACTGAGAGACCTGTGGGGAAGCCATGTCCTCCTGTGAATCGCATCCCAGCGTAGCTGCCTTTCCTATTCCCAATGGCGCCATTCTGGTCATGAGGACAGCAGAGCTTCCTAAGCCCCGTCAGAGAACAGCAGATCCAACAGGCCACTAGCAAGGAATGCCACGTGGCCACAGCAGGAAGGAAACAAACCACGCTCCATGGGAGCCTAGAGGGCTCCCTGCTGAGCAAACAGGCACAGGGGAGACACGGCCTGGCCCACAGCCCCTTTCCACACAACTGTCCTGAAAGCAGAGTGGCCCAGGGATGGGAGTGGGGAAGTGGGCAGCTGCCCTCAGATGCCATTCACTATGGACACTGTCCTATGGGAGTCCAGGCAAATTTGTCTCCTTGGAGGAGCTCACTGACCAGCCCCTCTGAGCTTCTGGACCCAGTTGGGGGGTGGGGAGCAGGCTCTCCCCATGCAGCCCACCAGCCATGGCAGCAGAGACCTGAAAAGGCAGGTTCCCTTAGTGACACAAGCCTTCCGTGGGAGGGCTAGTGGGAGCTGCAGCTGCAGGACAAGGCTTGTGATCAGAGGTCCCCTCAGCCCTACAGTGCAGATGCGGAAACACACACATGTGCGAGAGTGAAGGCAGACCATGGAGACCACCAGTGGCCCTGACAGCGTCTCCTCTGAGCTTACCTGCATGAAGGGACTGCATCAGGTTAGGGTGTGGCAAGGTAGGGCCAGGGCTACCAGAACAGCAGGAGGACTGGGCTAAATAGGGGTAGCCCAGTGTCTGTGTGATAAATCCATGGTTTCACAGACGAAGCTAAACACACCAATCTGTGCATTGTTGCTGCATCCAATGCCCAGAGCTGACCTCCACGTTCCCACTGCATGCTCAGGGAGTATAAAGCTGCCCTGACACTGACATAACATCGTGGCCATCCATACTATGAACTCTATCAGCTCTGGCACCTGAGCGTCACTCCCCAGTAGAGAGAAGCCACTTCCAGTGCAGCGCTGTAGCTGCTTTTCCAGTGCTTCTGCAAGAGCCAGCATCCAGCAAAAGCTGGCCAATGGTGTTGTGCTGCAAGGCCTTCACCATGCTCATTCTCATTTCTCTCTTGTAGACAGAGCTACCTGGATGCGACCAGTGACATGCCCATGGGCCACAGCCTGGAGCCATCTGCCAGCTATAACTCCCCCAAGTTCCGTTCCAGGAACCAGAGCTACATGCGGGCCGTCAGCACCCTGAGCCAAGCCAGCTGTGTGAGCCAGGTGGGGACCCCTCTGCCCCCTGGGGCCCAGTTACGGCCTTACTTGATGGGAGATTCACGCACATGGTGAGATTGAGCCAGTAGAGGACTGGGTTCCCCGACCCTGCTGACAATGGGTCAGCCAGGCCTCAGTCGCAGACCTGGATGGGCAGTGGTCAGTGCTGGGATCGTTGTCCCATACAACTGGGGCTAGGAAAGCTCCTGCCCAGCACGCACTGTGGGCCTGGCCTCAGCCAGGACCAGGACCTGTTCTCCCCCAACCACTGCAGGACTAAGGAGGACCCAGTGTCCCACAGGAACATGACAGAGACCCAGGACAGACGAGAAGCCCCCATAAGCTCCCCGACCCAGGTGCATGGTACAACACACAGCAGCCCACACAGTTCCTGGGTCAAACCCCATGGTGCAGGGGACTCAAACTCTATGTGACTGGAGTTGGACACAGCAATTCCCATTTATGTGTCACCGAGATGGGATGTAAGGAGGTCCACCAAGTATTCTTGGAGTTGTAGGGGGAGCATGGAGACAGTTGGAGGCCAGGGCAGTGGGGCTGCTGTGGGGTGCAAGCAGGTGACAGAGTGGTAGAGAAAGGCTCACAGTGCTTCTGGGTGCCCATGGGTGAGGGGACAAAATATAGCAGGAGGTCAGGAAGAAATAGCATGACCATCAGTAGGACGACACACATGAGGTGGTGCAAGAGGTAAACACTGAGACTCCAGCCTCCTCACACACTGGAAGGCCTGAGTCAGCCTGCACAGTGCTGAGTCAGCACTCCCTGAGGACACCTCACCCTCACTCACTAGAAGGCCTGAGTCAGCCTGCACAGTGCTGAGTCAGCACTCCCTGAGGACACCTCACCCTCACACACTAGAAGGCCTGAGTCAGCCTGCACAGTGCTGAGTCAGCACTCCCTGAGGACACCTCACCCTCACACACTAGGACTGAGTCAGCCTGCACAGTGCTGAGTCAGCATTCTTTGAGGACACCTCCCCATCACACACTAGGACTGAGTCAGCCTGCACAGTGCTGAGTCAGCACTCCCTGAGGATATCTCACCCTCACACACTAGGACTGAGTCAGCCTGCACAGTACTGAGTCAGCACTCCCTGAGCACACCTCAACCTCACTCACTAGAAGGCCTGAGTCAGCCTGTACAGTGCTGAGTCAGCACTCCCTGAGGGCACCTCACCCTCACCCTTACTAGAAGGCCTGAGTCAGCCTGTACAGTGCTGAGTCAGCACTCCCTGAGCACACCTCACCCTCACTCACTAGAAGGCCTGAGTCAGCCTGCACAGTGCTGAGTCAGCACTCCCTGAGCACATCTCACCCTCACATACTGGGAAGGACTTAGCATACAAAGTCCCAGCCAAGGCCCTTTGCTCTGTGGACTATGTATCCCTGAAAGCCCTAGCCCCTGGCCACTGCCCCTGAAACCTCCTGCATTCAGGTCTGCCCTGATCTCTACAAAGTCCCCAGCTATTGGTGCTGCTGCCAGTGGATCCAGGTAGACAACCGACTTTGGGGGGAAGTGATAGATGGCTTCTGACCCAGGACAGGTGTGACCACCTCATTCCCAGAGATGGCCATGATGACATCTGATCCAGACATGGTCTTCTAACCCGGGGTTTGGCTGTGACGACCTAACCCTCTGACCCCGGACACGGCCATGAGGGCCCTGTGGGGCCACCCTCAGCTATGCCATTCTTTTGCAGATGAGTGAGGCTGAGGTGAACGGGCAGTTCGAGTCAGTCTGTGAATCGGTCTTCAGCGAGGCTGAGACTCAGGCCATGGATGCCCTGGACCTCCCTGGCTGCTTTCGCACCAGGAGCCACAGCTACCTGCGCGCCATCCAGGCTGGCTACGCCCAGGACGACGAGTGTGTCCCCGTGCTCACACCCTCCGACATGGCCTCAGGCATCAGGCCCACCACGGGTGAGGCCCAGGGAGTGGGAAGCACCGTGGTCAGCTTCACTGCGCCCTATTGCTGAGCACTCTGATCCCGGTCACCTGGGCAAGGTGCTTTGGAGCTAGCCCTTCCGCCTCCCTTCCTTTTCCCAGGGTGGCATCCATTGCCCACTGAGGGATACCAGTAACCACTGTAGCCAGAGCAAACCAGTCCTGGCAGGAACTGGTGCAACAGCTGCTACTGCTGGAGTGGCTGCTTCTGGCACAGTGAATGGACCCACTCAGGTGGCCAGCGTGGATGTCCCCGCGGGTGAGAGCTTAGCGGTCATGCACGTGAGAGGGGCTGGTGTCTGTATAGCGGGGTTGCCTTTTTCCCCTTGTGTCTTCCCTCAGATGTGGCCAATTCTGGTTCTCGATGTTGGAGGTGCCCGGGGGATCCTGGCCAAGAGGAAACAGCTAGCGGGAGGATGATGGGGCATAGGAAGCCAGGATGCCCTATCATCCAGGCTGCCATTAGATTGATTGTGTTGTGTCATGGCTTCAGATACACAGTTTTAGGAAGCCACAGAGGACAGGGGGCCCACAGTGCATGGGGCAGATAAGGCTGGGCTCCTGGGCATGTATGGTCAGCCATTGCTGGACCTGGGTGGTTCCCTCAGGAGTCTCATTACTACATCTTCTTATAATATAGTCAGGGTGATCACTCATACTCTGCCGCCCATAGTTACCCCAAAGGTCAGACACAGGGCAAAAGCACTGCCCCAAAGTGCCCAGGATCTGCTGAGTGCCAAGTAGGAGCCAGAGGCTGGTCAGAGTCCTGGTGACCCATGACAAGGACAAGAGGCTGGCCAGGGTCAGGTGACCCATGACAGGGACAAGAGGCTGGTGGGAGTCTGAGTGACCCGTGACAGGGACAAGAGGCTTGTTGGGGGTCCTTGGTGACCTGTGATGGAGACAAGAGGCTTGTCGGGGTCCTTGGTGACCTGTGATGGAGACAAGAGGCTTGTCAGGGTCCTAATGACCCGTGACGGGGGACAAGAGGCTGGTTGGGGTCCTAGTGACCCATGATGAGGGCTAAGAGGCTGGTCAAGGTCCTGATGACCCATGACAGGGACAAGAGGCTGGATAGGGTCCTTGGTGATCCATGACGGGAACAAGAGGCTAGTCAGGATCCTGATGACACATGACAGGGGATAAGAGACTGGCCAGGGTCCGGATGACCCATGACAGGGACAGGAGGCTGGTTGGGTTCCTTGGGCCACATGCAGTTCCTGCTTCCATGGTGCCACCATGTGGCAGGGAGCAAGCCCCAAGGTATGCCATGGGTTTAGCGAACATGGTTGCTGATCAGCAGTGTGGTGAGAACAGAGGCCACAGGTGTCTGACACAGAGGAGGGGTGGGTTGTTGACGTTGATGAGGTGCTCCAGGAGCTTGTGGGAGGTGTATACCTCCAGAGGTGAGGCGTGTCAGTTTTATCTCCTGCAGGCTTCCCATGAGCCCCTGCGGTACTGTGGGTCAGTTCACAGTGCCCTACAGTGCAGATCAGATGATCCACATGGCCTCCCAAGGGCTCCCTGTGGTAGAGCAAGACGTTCTTCTTATAGCCCTGCTGGATGGAGCATTGTTCAGCCTTAGGGGTTCAGTATGTTGTCAATCTTGCATAACCAAAATAGCAATGGCAAAATAATTAGAATGATGTTAACAACTGGTATTTGAAATCCTGCAGACCTTGCTATATGTTCATTCATCTGTTAGTCTGCTGTTTCTAGAGAGGAAGAGGGGGATAGAGAGGTGTGCCAGCTGCTGGTTTACTCCCCAAATGGCCACAACAGCCAGACTGGACCAAGCTGAAGCCAGGAGCCTAAAGCTGCATCCAGGTCTCCCATGTGGCTGAATGTATGCATGCTCATTGTACAGAACTAAGATGCATTGGACCTGAACCACCACCTGTGGCCTACCAGGGAGTGAAGATCAAGGGGAAAGGTCAGGATCAGAGCCAAGTGAGCCCTGGGCACTTGGGCCTGGGCTCTGGGGTCCTAACTGCTCAGCTGGCCACACCCTGCAGGTTCCACTAGCGAGATCGCATCACCATTGTGTCTTGTGATTCAGGGTCCTGTCTGCCTTGGCCCGAGGGGAGGCGGGTGACACAGCATGCCTTTGCAGGGATCTGAGCCCCACACTGTGTTCCAACAGCCCCAAGATGTTGGGAGGCACTACCACTCTGGCTGTCGCAGACCTACATGGGTAGCCCCTGAGTGGGTCTGGCAGGCCAGGAACACACCTGCTGGCCACACGCTGACCCAGTCTCTGTCTCCCTGTTTTTCTCTCTTCCTCCCGCTCCCTCTCTTCTCTCTCCTACTCCCTCACAGCTGCCTCCTACGCCCATTACAAGAAGACACCCCCGCCTGTGCCACCACGCACCACCTCCAAGCCACTGATCTCCGTCACAGCCCAGAGCAGCACTGAGTCCACACAGGATGCCTACCAGGATGGCCGTGCCGCTAGACTGCCACCCTGGGCCCAGGATGGCCGTGGCCTGTATGGCTCCACAGACAGCCTGGACAGCAGCAAGGCTGTGAGCCTGGCCCTGGAGGCAGCTGCAGCCCAGCGTCATGCCACCGAGGGCCAGCGCACTGGGGACAAACCCACACCAGCCACCAAGGCTGAGGAGTTCCTCAGGAACCGGCGCTCATCCATCGGTGTCCAGGTAGCACAGGCTGTGCCCAGCCCAAGGCCATCACATCCCCACGCTCCTGGCCACAGCTGTTGCCAGGAAGCCCCACTTGTAGGCAGGGGTGGAGTAGGGTATCTCCAGCTGTCTGGGGGTGAGGTTCAGCTAAGGCTGGGGAGCCTCACACCCCTCAGGTGGGGGCCCCAAAGGTTGTGGGGAGGACAGAAGCGTGGCAGGGATGCCTGACAGCCAACCACTTGGTTCCCACTGGGCAGGCTTACAGCAGGTGCAGCCCAACAGGCTGACCCCAAGGCTGGCAGAGGCTGACAGGACGGTCCCACCCTGCCAAGCACCTCCATCAAAGTCACCCACCCCAACCCTTATCCCCACCCAACAGCTGCTGTCCCCTGGGAGGGCTGAGGGTTGCCTGCGGGTGCCATGGCTAGACCGTGGCCAGGGGCCCACATGGTGGCTTCGCTGTTTTGTTTAGGACTCTGAGTTCCCCGAGCCTCAGCCATCCCCAAGGTCAGATGTAAGTACCAGAGACTGCGGCCGCAAGAGACACTGTCACCCACCTCTGTCCCCTGAGAGCTCTTGTCCCGCAAGAGCAACCATCATCTGAGTGCTCAGCACCTTGAGTGCTCCCATCCCCACAAGCACTCCATCCTGAGTGCGCTCATCCCCCAAATGCTCTGATTACATTAGTGCTCTAATCCCCTATGTGTTTCTGTCACCCAAGCCATTCATCCCCTGAGTGCTCCCAGCCCCCAAATGCTCCCATCACCAGAGTGCACCAATCCCTTGAATGTTCCCATCATGTGAGTGCTCCTGTCCGAGCCCTCCTGTCCCTGAGTGCTCCCATCTTATGAGTGCTATTGTCCCTAAGTGCTCCTGTCTCCTGAGTGCTCCACTCCCTAAGTGCTCCCATTCCCACAAATGCTCCTATCCCTGAATGCTCCATCCCTGAGTGCTCTCATTCCACTGAGTCTCTCATTCCATTGTGTGCTTCCATCCCATGAGTGCTCCTATCCACTGAGTGCTCCCAATCCCCTAAGTACTCCTGTCCCTGAGTGCTCCCAATCCCCTGAGTGTTCCTGTCCCCTATGTGCTCCTGTCCCTGAGGGCTCTGATCTCTTAAGTGCTCCTGTCCCTGAGTGCTCCCATCCCTGGAGTGCTGGCATCCAAGGAGTGCTCCCATCCCCCATGTGTCAGTAACCCTGCTGGGGGCACCCATATGGACCACAGCGAGCCAGGTGCTGCCACCATGTGACCTGTGAGAGAGAGGGAGGAACACCTGTCCGGTCCAGGGCATTCAGTGCTGCTGTGACAAACAAAACACCCATGAAAATGGTCACACCAGGTTTCACTGCATACACCTCAGTCCCTATCCTGCCCCATTGCCTCACCTGGTCTCCTCACCGGGTCCCCTCACCTCAGAGTTCACCCTCACTCTGTCTCCTCACCTGAGAGTTCACCCCCACCTGGTCCTCTCACCTGGGCCATTCACCTGAGAGTTGACCCTCACCTGGTCCTTGCATTCTGTCCCCTCACCTGGTCCTTTCACCTCAGAGGTCACCCCCACCTGGTCCCCTCACCTGAGAGTTCACCCCCACCTGGTCCTCGCATTCTGTCCCCTCACCTGGCCCTCTCACCTGAGAGTTCACCCTCACTTGGTCCCCCAGTGATACTCTGGAGAAAGGCAGTTTTCATGCTCAGTGATGGCATCTCAATTTGGAGCTTCCTGATGCAAGATTTTTTTTTAAGATTTATTTTACTTGGAAAGTCAGAATTACAAAGAAAGGGGGAGGCTGCAAGAAAGATCTTTCAACTGCTGGTTCACTCCCCCAATAGCTGCAACAGCTGCAGCTGAACCAGTCTGAAGCCAGAAGCTTCTTCCAGGTATCCACATGGATGCAGGGTCCCAACACTTGACCGATCCTCCACTGCTTTCCCAGGTGATACACAGGGAGCTGGATGGGAAACAGAGCAGCCAAAACATGCACCATTGCCATATGGGATCCCAGTGTTGCAAGCGGAGGTATTAGCCTGTTGAGTCACCATGCAGGTCCCAGATATTTCTGGGACAGCGATGGCTCAGGGCATGCATGTGTCAATGGTTTGACCAGCCAGTGACTTCCGTGCTGAGGTGCCTGGCCAGGATCACTCCACACAGGCTGGGGCCACATGTTCCAGGGCCTCGGCAGGAAGCTCCCTGGAGTCCTTAACCCCTGGTCTAAGCTGATGTCCTGCTGCTCCCGACAACAGGCTGCCACATGTGGATGCAGGTGCTGCTGCATGCATGAGTGTGTATGGACAGAGGGGACACACGCAGACACCCACACACGTGTGGCTCTGTGGACACAAGGAACACCCCATACACACATGTGTGGCTCTGTGGATGTAGGAGACATCCCTCCACACACACGTGTGGCTCTGTGGATGCAGGGGACACCACACAGACACACATGTGACTCTGTGGACACAGGGAACACCATACACACATGTGGCTCTGTGGATGCAGGGAACACCGCAGACATGTGTGGCTCTGTGGACACAGGGGACACCCCCCACAGACACACATGTGTGGCTCTGTGGATGCAGGGGACACGCCCCACAGACACGTGTGTAATGTGTGTGCAGATCCTTATGTGTCTATGTGCAGGACACAGATGCGAACATGCTCACTGGTCATTCTTGAATCCCTATAAATCTGTGTGGCTGCAGCCGGGAGCGGGGTTCTATTAGACTGTATGTCTGGTTGTGTATTTGCGTTGTCTCATCGTGGGGCATGGTCAGGGTTTCGCTGTCCCAGAGCCCAGATCTGTCCAAGCTTAAGTCTGTGGTTCCGCCTGCACTTGTCTGTGTCCCTGATCCACATTATTCTGTGTAGCGGGATCCAGTGGGGTGCCCAAGAGCAAACCAAAGTGCAGCCTCCCCTTGTCTGTCAGCCCCATCCCCTTGTTAATTAGACAGATGCGTAGTCAGTCACAGCAATGGACAAGCCTGGCCAGCCCCAGCTGCTTCTACATGAGGTTCCATGTTCTGTGTTGCTGTAGGTGGAGACGGCTACTGACTCTGACACGGAGAGCCGTGGCCTGCGCGAGTTCCACTCGGTTGGGGTGCAAGTAGAAGATGAGAAACGGTAACTTGGCCCCCAGGCAGGAGCAGGCTGCCCTGCACTGCCAGCCCTCAGGGCCCAAACCTGGCCCTGTCATTCCACTGCAGAGTGACACTTCCTGGGCTGTGTGTCCACACAGACACAGAATCTTTGTTCCCAAAGCAGATGGTCAGAAACACATGGGTCCCACTGGAAGGGAAGGTTGTGGGAGCATCATGTACTGTTTACTTCCACAGGCCAAATGAGAGCAACTAATCCTGCACCCAGGTGCTGTGTCCTGGCAAGGGAGTCAGCATAGGGCTGACTTGGCATGGGCAAGCAAGGTCTTGTGTGTTGCTGGTGCAAACACAGGGAGAGCCTGTCCCCCAAGGGCATCAGTGTGCATCTGGCACAGACACCCTGGGAAGGAGGGTCCATCCTGGGCTCAGGAACTGGCTCTGCCTTCCGCCTCCATGATGGACACCAGCAGAGAGTGAAGACCCCCTGACTGAGCAGCTGCACACACAGCAGCTTGGGGCACCAGCCAGCTGTGCCTGGGATGTGTGGACACACAAAGACATGAACATGCACATACATGCAGACACACATGCACAACACAAATATGTAAGTGCAGAAATATAAAAGACATGCACAAAGATGCACAGACACATGCACACAGCATGCACATGTGTCACACAGCACCCACTCACCCGGTGTCCAGCTGCAAGGCTACCTCTGAGTCACGCGGCTCACACTCAGGTGCAGGATTAACCAGGACAGGGTTAGCTGCTCTCACTGGCCCACTGAGGAGGGCACATGCAGCTTCAAAGGAGCCGACTTTCCAACCCACTAGGTGCAAAAGCTTCCTTGAGCTGCACACAGACAACTTAGGGCTGCAGAGGACAGGGTATATGTGCCCATGGGGACTTGGGTGGATGAGCTCACTGTGTTTGCAGATCTGCTTGTTGCTCTGCGAAAGAAACCTTCCACAGGAAGGGTCGTCCCAGGGAGGCGCACAGGGTCTGTGCTGCGGGCGCGGGCAACCTGTCCCCTCCCCTGCAGGCACGGCCGCTTCAAGCGCTCCAACAGCGTCACAGCAGCAGTGCAGGCCGACCTGGAGCTCGAGGGCTTCCCGGGCCAGGTGCCCACGGAGGACAAGGGGCTGCAGTTCGGTTCATCCTTCCAACGGCACTCGGAACCCAGCACGCCCACACAGTATGGAGCGCTGCGTACTGTGCGCACCCAGGGACTCTTCAGCTACCGGGAGGACTATCGCACGCAGGCAGACGCAGCCGCTATGCCACCTGCCGACCCCTGGTTGGAGCCCTCGCTGGAGCCTGCAGACAGCGGGCGGATGTCCCCGTGCAGGCGTGACGGCTCGTGGTTCCTGAAGCTGCTGCACTCGGAGACCACGCGAATGGAGGGCTGGCGCCAGGAGATGGAGCGCGAGGCAGAGGACAAGGACCTAGCGGAGGAGAGTAAGTTTAGAGAGTGGCGGGCCGAGGGAGGGTGGGGCGAGTAGGCGGACTCAAGGCGCAGCTTCCAAACTGTCCGTTCTTCTGCGTCCTGGCTGACACCTGACCAAGCAGGCCCCTGATGGGCACCCAGGACAGCCCTGAGCTGCACCTGTACCTGGCTGGACTGCACTGGCTCACACAGGTCTCTGCCCCTCAGTGAGGAAGGACAACCCTTCCGGTCCCCGGCAGGAGCCCTACTCGTTCTGCCTTTGCTGGGAAGACACCTCTCTAGTCTGTGGGAACCTCAGGTGGGGAGGGCTCCTCCCCCGGTGACATGGCTCAGGCCTTGCAGGGTTGTTCCTTGAACCCCAGAGCCCACGGCAGCAGAGCCTGGTCCCTCTGTGGCTGTGTCTCCCATGTCCTCACGTGCTGCCATGTCCCCCACCTCTGCGCACATTTCATTCTGACTCCATTTGGCTGTGGTTCTCACTTGGGGCCCAGAGATGCTGCCTAAATGGCCAGAGCCTCCCATGGTCATCAGGCATTAGAGGTAAACCTGAGGGGGACATGTCAGAACACTGTCGTGAACCTACATGGTCCACATCACTGACACCATGGTACAGCATCTCCATGGCCTTAGCGTGTAGGTATGAACATGGCCTTGGTGTGCACAGCATCTCCCTGGCTTTACTGTGTGGGTATGAACATGGCCTTGGCATGCACAGCATCTCCCTGGCTTTAGTGTGTGGGTATGAACATGGCCTTGGCGTGCACAGCATCTCCATGGCCTTAGCGTGTAGGTATGAACATCAGAGGTTTCAGCTTCCCTAAATGAATGATCACAGGTGATGTGTGCTGGGACCCTCAAATGCATGATGCTGTGCATGCCAAGGCCATGTCCATTTTGCACACAAGCTTGCTTTTGTTTATTTCAAAGGCAGCGTCAGAGGGCAGGAGTGGGAGTAGAGATCTTTCATCTGCTGGCTCACTGTCCTGATGGCCACAATGGCTGGTGCTGGCAAGGTGGAAACCCAGAGCTTCATTGGGGGCCTGGTTGTCTAGGATGTTGCCTACCAGGATGGCAGAGTGGGATAGGAAATTCACACACCCGGACCCCCGGAACTCCAGTGCTCCTCATGGCCAGGGCTAGGGGCAGCACGAGCACTACCCAGCCAGTCAGTGGCTAAGCTGGTCTTATTTTTCAAAATTTGATACTTTTATTTTTCTTAATACAATATTAATTAACAAATTAAACCACTTGTATTCCCTTCAAATCATTGAGAAAAACCTTAAACAGCAAGAGAAAAATGAAACAAAGGAATTATGTAGACAGCCCAGAAGAAACAAATTCTTGTCAATAGCTAATTTTAACTTGATTAATAATAAGATACAACATCAAAATATATTCTTAAATCATCTCCCATATTTCCCAACAATTAATAAATTTTAATAAAATAATGTCATATTGCTAAGAAGAGCTGACTAAAGTTTATTTTTTAAGAAAAGCAAGTATTACATATGTACTTAACATTTTAAAATACTAACAAGAACTGAAAAAGTTGCATTTCCAGAAATGTTAATAGTTTTATACACACATATTCGTGTGAATTCATATCAGACATACATGTTCATATGTGCATATGCATTAGTTTAAAATGTATCATATGTATAAAGAAAGCATAAAGAATGAAGTGAATCAAAACTTGACTCTAAGTAATTTCTACAACATGGATTGCCTTAAAAACTGCAAGAGGAAAAAGCCTATTCAAATGAACAATTTTTTATTTATATTTCTTTTTTCATTTATTTTTATTATTATGATTTTATGATACAGTTCCATAGGCCCTGGGATTTCCCTTTTCCCCTCCCCAACTTCCTCCCCCTCACTGAGTTCCCCTATATCATTACTATAGTATAGTTCTTCATACATAGTCATATGTCCATCCATTGCAGGCATGGACAATGGCAGAGTCCAGCACCCTATTGTCAAGATTTAGTAAACATTGGAAAAAATTGGGAGTCAATCTTTGTCTGGAAGTAGAGATGCATACTGCTTTATATCCTCACATCTGAATATGATAGTCTCCATTACACAGTTACTATACATCTCCTTAAATGAAAAGCCACAAAACAAAATAAACAGCAGGAAGAAAAAAAAAGAAATGAACAACATGATGAAATTAAATAACATGCTACTGAATGACTAATGTGTCGCTCAAGAAATGAAAATCAAGAGCCTTCTTGAAGAAAATGATGCTACTGTAATATCTGTGAATCGTTGAAGAATTTAACCAGAAGAAAGTGTTTTGAAGAGATGAAACTAACAAAAAAAATCCAAATCCATGAGATACAGTTTCTGCTGATCTTTGTTGGTGAAATGTGTCTCCTGTGGGCAACAAATTGTTTTTAAATCCAGTCTACTAACCTATAATGTTTGATTGATGTTTAAACCATACACATTCAGGGTTAATATGAATGGGTGCTAATTTGGTCCTGTCATTTTAGCAATGGATTGTTCATTGATTTAGTCTTCTGTTGGTATTTTACTGGGATGTTCTTCACACTTGCCTTTGGTTTTGGTGGGCGCTGCTCCTCTTCTCTGTCGAGAGAACATCTTGAAGTATCCTTTGTAAAGCAGGTTTGGAAGAGGCAAGTTCTTTAACTTTTCTTTACTGTGGAAGAATTTTATTTCATTTTCAAAGACAAAGTAAACTTTTGCTGGGCACATTACCCTGGGCTGACGAGTTTTTGCTTTTAGAATCTGGAATATGTCACTCCATTCTCTTCTTGCCTGTAGAGTTTCCTGTGAGAGATCTCCTGTGAGTTTAATTGGCATTCCTTTATATGTCAGTTGACTTTTTTTCACGTGCATGTTTAAGGCTCTTTTCCTTATGTTAGATTGAAGAGAGCTTGATGATTATGTGTCACTTTTGGTCAAGCCTGCTGGGAGTTCTGTGCCCCTCCTGGATGTTGTTTCCCCAATTCTTTCTGTAGATTAGGGAAATTTTCCCTTATTATTTCATTAAATACATTTGTAAATCCAGCTTCTTTTTCTGCACTTGCTGGGACTCCCATAACTCTTCTGTTTGGCCTTTTAATAGTGTCTTTCAATTCTTGAATATTTTTTTGGCCTGATCCAGGTCTGCTTCCAGCTTTTTGTTTGTTTCCTCTTGGTAACAGGAAATATCTTCTAATTTTGAAATTCTCTCTTTTGCCTCCTTCATTCTATTTTGGAGACTCTCCACTGTACTTTTAATTTTCTCCACTGTATTCTTCATTTCTGATATATCAGCTTTCATTTGATTTATAACAAGTGTTTTGAATTCTATATCCCCCTTTTTCTTGATGTCTTCCTCAGTTAACCCTGGGGTTGGCAAAGCATTTTGCTCCTTTGCTGGGAGTCTTCAGTAACAGTCACTGTGTCTCTGTCTCTTCTTTTGCTCTTGGTCATTGTACTTGGGGCAGGTTCTTTTAAGCCGTGTCACCCACAGGCTTACAGTTCGATTTTACTTATTGCAATTGGTACACAGCTCTTTGTTTGTAGTCAATTGTTCCACTCCCTCCAGAGAGTTCCAGGTCTGGGTTCTTATGTTAGATTTCCACCATGGTCTCTGTAGTCCCAGCTCTTGGGTCACTAGTCTCCACCTCCTATGACACTGTGCTGAGGCTGCACCGTTGTCTGTACAGCCTTTTCCCCACTTCTGGTTAGAGCAGGTCCCAGGATTAGGGAGACATCAGGTGTCCTATATAGCTAGGTTATTGGTGGTGTTGATCTTGCCGGAACCTGATGGCTATTAGATCTGAGGGTCACATGGACCTATTTTGACCAGTACGATGCCCCACAGTCTGTATTATTTTTCTGTGGTACCAGTGCAATGCAATGATCTTTGTGAGTTTGCACCAGCTCAGTGCATGTGCAGCTCACTGTCCCCCCTCCCACCACCCTGCCTGCAGTGTTTGCCACACTGTAAGAAATGGTGCCTGATGTGCCACTACTAGAGTTCTTGATCTGCTGGCCCTTAGGTCTGAGGGCTACTCAGACTTGTCTTGGATGAAACCTGTTGCATACTACGTGTTGCAGTTCACTGAGACAGAAGTGAGGTCACTCCAGTGCAGTATATGCACATTCCTGCTCCCTAGACTTTGCCTCCTTTAACGAAATGGCACCTAATTAATTCAGCTCTAGGAGGTGGGCTGGGCTGTGTTATTCACCCTGTTCCTGCACTGCCTGCCTGGGACTTGCTGCTCTGTCTCTGGTCCTGGTCAAATCAAACAGACCAGCAGGACGGGCAGTTCTTTGTCTGGGTTCACCTCTGGAGCTCCTGGGTAATGTCCTTTCCCACCTAATTACTGGCCGCTGGTGGAATTCAGATCACTGTTCGCTGAATGCCGTTGGGGTATTGGTCACTGCAACACCACTCCATTGTTTTTGCTGCTTTCCTGTGTCTGTCAGTCTCCAGGTACCCCTCTGCTGTTGTTCTGTCCTCTCCTATTTCCTGGATTATGCACTCTCTTCTTCACACAGGCTAATATTTCTCTGTCTGTTTAAATATGTCCTTACCCTATTCTGCCATCTTGATTCTCTCCTAAGTGGGTCTTTATAGTGAATCCCAAGGGCAGGCGAGGGAGGCAGGGCTGTTCTTGACAGCATGGACAACTACGTGACAGACATTGCTGCCTGCTCTGTTGAGTTGATGTTTGGGATCATTCCTAGCTAGTCAGCTTTGGGTTCTAGTAATAGATTGGGCTCTAGGAGCAGATTCAGGGTTAGGCATTAGAGCACTTTTCAAAATAAAGATTAAAGGAAGTGCTTGCTAAAACAAAACTCCCAAGTTCTGAATATTCCAAATCCAATTCCATGAAATAGTTTTTGCCCAAACTCTCAGTTTTTTGGCCACAATTTCCTGAGTTAATTGAAAAAGCTTGCAGCATTCAGTTGTCGTGGTTACTAAAAGCAAGTGCCCGGCTCAGCATTGGTTTGTGCACAAGAACATGCATGCAGGCCCCGATTCATGTATGTGAGTCACCACATCCAGGCGTTTGTAAGCCGTAATTGGCCTGGCGCGTTTGGACCTTCCAAGTCAGGTGAGAACAAGAGGGAAGGACACAGATCCTGAACCCAAATGGCATATTTTCTGGAACAAGAACGTGCTAACGGAAACCCCCACAGGTTAGCTGACTTAAGCCCCTGAGAAGACCCACTTCTGAGGGGCAGGGCTGTGGCACTGGCCCCCGAAGCCCTATCTGGTGTGGGCATCACCACTGTGGACAATCCCTTGGAGAAGAACAGGGCAGCCCAGATGGCCCCACATTTGGCACTGTGAACCAAGCACCACATGGGCCAGATTGAGACCTGCCTGGGCATGCACCTGGACCAGGACTTCCAAGAGCTGACAGAGCGCTGGAGAGAGAAATGGGAAACTTCTGGGCAGAACAGCTGGTGGACAGTGGAGTGGAACAGTGGAGCAGGACATGGTTGAACTGCATGGCCGTGCGGCATGCAGGACACGGCCAGCGAGGGGGTTTTCTGCACTCATAGCCAAGGGAAACAAGTGCACAAACATGAGCTCAGGCAGGAAACTTGGAGCCTGAGACGTCTGAACTGGGGGGCTTCCAGGAACCAGGATCTGCCCACAGCAGGTTTGCTGTGGGGCTCCAGAGTAGCTATGAACGCTGTGACCACATCAATCACTGCAAAATCCATGGACTCACTTCAGAGCCTGAGGACCATCGTGCTGGGCCAGCATGCTATTGTGCAGCATGTGAAAGTGAAAATCAGGCAAGCCACTTGGGAAGTGAGGGGTGTCCTCGTGGGTGCCACCAGCCATGGGGATACCCTAACCACCTGCACCGAACTGAGAAGAGTAGCAGGTGGAAGAAGCAACTGACGCCCTGCAGTCACAACTCTGTCAGGGCCCTCCCTCTGGGCTTACCACCCACGTGCAGCACGTTGGTCCCCTGCTCGGTCCCGCCCTGGGACACCTGGCCCTATCGTTGCACCCACCATACTGATCATACACGGCTGACGGGAGGCTGTGGCAGAGTTTGAACTGCTTGGTTACCTTCTTGCTCAGCCCTCAACATATCTATCAGTCGTGTGTGGTCCAGGAAGCAACGTGACCACAGCAAGTCCCTGGCAGGGCCATCACGCACCTGTGGGATCCCATGGGGGTTGTCTTGACCCCCGGAACCTTGGCATCACTTCCGAGGATGGCCGTGTGTAAGTCCAGACCTGGAGGCAATGAACATGACTCTTGGATGTCACCACATGGTGATCACACATGAAAGGGGCTGGGCTTCTCAGGTGGTCATCTTATGGGTGCCAGGCCCTTCCTGACCTTTGCATCCAGGACCAACAACTTCCTCCCCACCAGCAGCACCGACTGGGCTGAGGGCAGGGGCACAGGTCACATAGCCAGGTCAGGAGAGGATTGGGGCACCCGAGGCTCCCCAACCAGCTCTGCCCCTAGGCCTCTCAGCCCAGGGGAGCTGGTGGGGACCCCAGAGACTGGACTCACCTGGACACCTGTACATGGTCACTCCTGCCCAGCAGAGCCCAGAGCAATGCCATGGACCCAGTGGAGGGGTACCTGGGCCAGCGGCAAGAGATGGCCAGCAGAGATGCCCTCCTACCCTCCCCAAGTGCTGCCAGTGGCAGGTAGACCAGGCCTGTCAACTGTAAGAAGTCACTGCATGGATAGGTGCTCCCACTCCCCTGCGTCCTTGTATAGTCTTCCATGTCCAGTCTAAAGCCAGAGCTGGTCCCAACTACCTTGGCATATTAAATCCGTCCCAAGGATACAACTGAAACATAGGGCTCCTCTCTGAATTTACTATCCCATTAGCCAAGATTCAAGACTCCTGAGTAAACGAACTTCTTACCAACCCATGATCTGCTCACTTGGAAACACATGCCTGGGCCGGTACAGGGGCACAGCATGCTAATCCTCTGTCCTGTGGCACTGGAATCCCAAATGGGCACCGGTTCATGTCCCAGCTGCTCCACTTCCCATCCAGCTTCCTGCTTGTGGTCTCAGAAAGCAGTCAAGAAAGACCCAAAGTCTTGAGACCTTGCACTTGCCTGGGACCCAGAAGAAGCTCCTGACTCCTGGCTTCAGATCAGTTCAGCTCTACAGCCATTTTGGAAGTGAACCAGTAGATGGAAGATCTTTCTCTTTCTGCAACTCTGCATTTCAAATAAATAAATGAAACTTTTTAAAGAAAAAGTATATGTCACAACAAAAAGCCAGGCATGGACGGGCATGGCCAGGGCAGCTTCGCGGAGGATGGCCTGCCAACAACCAGCTTAGATCCCAGCCCCTGCTCGGCTTCCAGGGCACCACATGAGCCCCCACACGGGACTCCATGGTGCACCAAGGCCCACACAGCTCAACCCCATGTGCCTTCCTGGAAATTGAGTAACAGGCATCTCAAAAGGCCACGGATACATGACAGAACCCAGGCCATACTGAGGCTGACCATAGCTTCCATTCTTGCAGCTTTCTTGGCTCCTAGCACCCACAGGAGACTGAGGCAGAGGCCATCCTGCAACCTGAGCTTTCCCCAGCAGAACGGCCCAGCGAGGGCTGCCCTGGGCTGGTGCTGGTTGCCTCTGACTATGGCCATGCCAGCCGAGTTGACCGTCATGTCAGCCTCGTCTGCTTGGGGAAGTTCCTCTCGGCATCTGCTCCTGGCCCTGACCTGTCTGTTTCTTCACAGTTCTCGGTAAGATCCGGAGCGCTGTGGGGAGTGCCCAGCTCCTCATGTCCCAGAAGTTTCAGCAGTTCTATTGGTTGTGCCAGCAGAACATGGTAAGTTCCCCATTAGCTTGCTGACCACCAGCCCACTGCCTAGCCTCACTGTGCCAGCCTGTCCAAGACAGCGACCAGGGCTGGGTGCATATAACAGAGCACATCTCAGTGCACATACATATGGAACAGTACACATCCCAGTGCACACATACATATGGAACAGCACTCATCCTGATGCACATACATGTGGGACAGCATACATCCCAGGGCAAACATACATGTGGGACAGCACACATCTCAGTGCACATACATATGGAACAGTACACATCCCAGTGCACACATACATGTGGAGCAGCACACATCCCGGTGCACACATACATGTGAGACAGCACACATCCTGGTGCATGCATACGTGTGGGACAGCACTCATCCTGATGCACATACATGTGGGACAGCACACATCCAAGTGCACACATATGTGTGGGACAGCATATACCCCAGTGCACACTTGTAGAACACACATCCCAGTACCCAAGCGTGGGACAGCACACATCCCGGGACACACACTTGTAGAACATGCATCCCAGTACACACACATGTGTGGAACAGCACATACCCCAGAACACATGTGTGTGTAGAATAGGGAACGGTGCCATTCCTGGAATGGGCAGGTCCCAGCCCCTGGCTCAGCAGTTCCCCCAGGGCAGAGCCACGGTTAAGCTGTATGTGGAAGCCCAGGGTTCCAGGTGGCTGGGGTGCCTCCGCTGGATTCCATGCAGAAGAGTGAGTGGAGGAGACACCATGTGCACTGGACGGTGAGGAGGCACCCCTGCCCCGGGGCTCGGTGCAGCAGGTACGGAGCGCGTGGCCGCCTCCTGGTGGCGCACGCCGTGCTGGGACCCAGGAGAGGCAAGGAGCTGGCCCTGAGCCCTACCCGTGTCTGCCCCGCTGGGGCCTGGGCCAGCAGCGCGCCAAACCCGCGGGCAAGTGCATTTGACCGCCTCATCCCACCCCAATACCTTGTACGGGAACAGCGAGCAGCTCTGCCACACGTGTGCAAACGCGGCTGCCCTGGACCCGCCCCGACCACCCATGTGTCCCTAGGACCCCAGCGCCATGCCGCGGCCCACGTCTCAGGACCTGGCCGGCTACTGGGACATGCTGCAGTTGTCCATTGAGGACGTCAGCCTCAAGTTTGACGAGCTGCAGCGGCTCAAACTCAACGACTGGAAGGTGGTGGAGTCGCCCGAGAGAAAGGTGAGGTGGCGCAGTGGTGGGAGGTCATGGGGTGTGGTCCTCTGCCCAGGGAGAGCCTGGGGGACTGGTGCCCGCATCCCAGCACCTTCGCACAGGCCAGGGGGATTCGAGGAAATGCGCCCCAGCCAGCCCACGGTCCTGCATCTCACGGGAAGCAGGTGCGGGGAGGTGAGGGGTCTGTGTCTTCCCCTGTCCCCTCCCGGCCCCTCACACTGACCTCACGCCCCGCTCCACGCTGACCCGCTCTCCCGCACCTCTTCCAGGAAGAGCGGAAGGTGCCCCCGCCTATACCAAAGAAGCCCCCCAAAGGGAAGCTCCCCATCACGCGGGAGAAGTCGCTGGACCTGCCCGACCGGCAGCGCCAGGAGGCCCGGCGGCGGCTGCTGGCGGCCAAGCGCGCCGCGTCCTTCCGCCAGAGCTCGGTGGGTGAGCGCGCCGACAGCATCGAGATCTACATCCCCGAGGCACAGACGCGGCTCTGAGCCGGACCCCGCCGGCGCCCACACCTTTTGTTACTCCCGTTTTTTATAATCTGCGTGAAGGACCAAGAATCACCGCTCCCGCGCTCACCAGATGGCAGGTGCTACAGCCGCAGGCGCGGGACCGAGGCCTGCGCCCCCGGACCCCCGAAGCCGAGAGGGACCGGCGGGCCCCTCTCCAGGGGCCCCTGGCCATGCGACGCGCACAGAGCTCAGCCGCGGTTTTTACTCCTTTGTAGCGCGCGGAATCCCGCCCCACACCTCCAGGCCTCACCACCGGGGTGCGTGCGGATCTCGTCTGCATCATCTCTGTCAGGCCTGCTGCTTCGCGATGGGAACTGAGACGCGTGACTGGCGTGGATCGTCCGATCCCGGGCGTGAACAGGGAGGAGCCCCCTACGGATGGGCTCCAGGGACGGGTCGTGGCCGGTCTCCCCCCCACCCCCCAGCAAGCACCTTGATTTCTGCCCGTGCCGCCCCTACAGCCCGCGCCGCCGCTCAGGAAGGGCCGCCCAGCCCGCAAGGCGCAGCGCCTCCCGCACCTCCCGCCGTGTGCGCCCAGTGCGGGCAGCCGGTGCAGCTGACGCATGTTTAGCTTCTTCAGAGTTATACTTTTTTAAAGTCTAGTAGTTACGACCCCTGTAAGAACAGACCCTTGTACATCAGCCTCGTATCCGGTATATATTTTACCAAACAGCCTTAAAACTTATTTGGAAGCAAAAATCAGTACGAATGTATATCCTTGAAAAATGCAAAAAAAAAAAAATTCCCGAAATATTCTTCTATAAAATAAATCCTATTCCCCGTGTTCAAAGCACTTTTCTACCTAAATAAACGTCCAAATCCAGAGCACTGGACAACAGTGACGCTTCTGCCGCATCGCTTCCGCCGTCAGGGGCAGGGTGAATGCTGGTCACATCCCTGGAGCCACGGGCACACACACAGGACTCAAGCCAGCACCTGACCACACACACCTGCACTCACACCTTACACATGCACACCCATCCACACACACTTGCTCACATAGGTCACACATGCACACGTGCACATACACATACCTGCCCATGCACACACCTGTATACATCTCACACATTCACATCTGCATACACACACCTCACACATGTACACCTGCCCATGCACACACGTCTGCCCCTACACACCTCCCAGGATGCACACAAGCCATCACTCAGCACACACTTGGTTGCTGAGGGTCTCAAATCCGCCAGGTCGGGGTCTGTTGCACACCCATCTTTCCTGGCCTCAGCGGTTCAGTATGAGTCTGCCAAGCCCCTGCCGAGCTGTCCCTGCCGTACGGCACATGGATCCTCCCCCAGGTGACCATTCATTGTAGGACACAGGCCACAGGCCGGGGTGCCTACATGTGTGTGGAGAGAAACGAGACCTGGCTGTCCACACACACTGCTCGCTTGCCTCGCCCCTGCCAGCCACTTCAGGCCCCTGGGATGCTGAGGTCACAGCATGAGATGTTTCCATGCATTTTAGGAGGAACAAAAGTGATGCATACAGGGTTGCAGAGTCCCCATCCCTAATCCCAGGGGACAGCCAGTGAAGGTGAGACCCCCAGCTCCTCAGAAGCTTCTTCCCTTCTGGCTGGTAGATGATGGTGGCCGTGGTGCTGAGGCTCAGCACAGCCCTGGCTGGAGGCCACTGACCAGCCTCCCCTCCCCACCTCCCAGCACTGTCCTTGCCATTGCCTGTGTCCTCCCAGAGTCTGGAACCAGTACCAAGAGTCAACCCAAAACCAGCACATCACAGTTCTGCTAAGAGCAAAGAATACCAGCAACACTGTCCACTCCAATCTGTCCTGAAGATGCTGGCACTGTGTGGACAGGTATGTCGCTGGGGGTCATGCATGACTAGCAAAGCCATATGCTCCTCCATGTCACTTCCTGCTCTTCCCACAGCCCCCTCTCTGGCCAGGAAGGGCCAGGCCTCGACATTGACCAACCTCTAGAAGTTTGAATCCCACCCTTAGGCTATGCCCCCTCTTCCTCCAGGCATCCAAAGTGCCAAGACAAGAACATGAGATCCCACTGGGGGTCCCACTGCATTCTCACGGCAAGGACCACACTGCACAAACCAGCTGGTCATGGCACCATTCAAAGACCTGAGGTCACAGGAGGATAGCTACCCACACAGAGCTCCCCACACTGGGAAGATGCAGATGGACACGGGGCTCGCATTATCTAGCAGCAGTTTCCTCCTCTTCCTCCTCCCTTGGCCCATCCCAGCTGTCCACACCCACAGGGAACCCTGAGGGATCTGACTTGCCCTGGCTATCCACAGGGAGTCCCAACGGGTGGCTGGCCCCAGCTGTCCAGGGGAGCTCTGAGGGGTCCTAGCTTGCCCTGGCTATTCACAGGGTAGCTCATCTGGTCTGTCCACATCCACAGGGAGCCCCGAGGGGTCCCGGCTCACCCTGGCTATCCACAGTGAGCCCAGAGGATCCTAGAGGCAAAAACAGTCTGGGGCCCGGCGCGGTGGTGCAAGTGGTTAAAGGTCCTCACCTTGCACACCCGGGATCCCATATGGGCGCCGGTTCTAATCCCGGCAGCCCCGCTTCCCTTCCAGCTCCCTGCCTGTGGCCTGGGAAAGCAGTCGAGGACGGCCCAAAGCTTTGGGAACCTGCACCCACGTGGGAGACCCGGAAGAGGCTCCTGGCTTCGGATCGGCATAGTATCGACCCGTTGCGCTCACTTGGGGAGTGAATCATCGGACGGAAGATCTTCCTCTCTGTCTCTCCTCTCTGTATATCCGCCTTTCCAAAGAAAAAATAATAAAAATAAGTCTTTAAAAAAAAAAAAAACACAGTCTGCAGACAGACTAGGTGTTTTTCCTTCACAGTGGAACGAGTCAAGATGACTCGGTTTCAGCTTCTCTCAGGAGGACACGATCATCCTCTTCTTTGAAGAAATGGCCTGAAGAATGTGCCAAAGAGGAGGTGACCTGGGTCAGAAACAGAAGGATGGAGGAGGCAGTGTGCTGGAGAAGGAAGATGTGGAAGCAAACAAATCATTCATTTGTTAGCCTATCAAACAGACTCTATGGCCCAGGATTATGATTGAGAGAATCCAGCGGGTGCAGCACAGCGAACAGCAGCAATGCAGGGTGGGCATTGGGCAGCAGCGTCCCAGGATACAGGGTGGACGTTAGGGGTCAGGCAGCAGCAGCCCAGGATACAGGGTGGGTGTCAGGCAGTGTCCCAGGATACAGGGTGGGCATTGGGCAGCAGCGTCCCAGGATACAGGGTGGGCGTGAGGGGTCAGGCAGCAGCAGCCCAGGATACAGGGTGGGTGTCAGGCAGTGTCCCAGGATACAGGGTGGGCATTGGGCAGCAGCGTCCCAGGATACAGGGTGGGCGTGAGGGGTCAGGCAGCAGCAGCCCAGGATACAGGGTGGGTGTCAGGCAGTGTCCCAGGATACAGGGTGGGCATTGGGCAGCAGCGTCCCAGGATACAGGGTGGGCATTAGGGGTCGGGCAGCAGTGGCCCAGGATACAGGGTGGGCGTCAGGCAGTGTCCCAGGATACAGGGTGGGCGTCGGGGGTTGGGCAGCAGCGTCCCAGGATACAGGATGGGCGTCGGGGGTTGGTCAGTGGTGTCCCAGGATACAGGGTGGGTGTCAGGCAGTGTCCCAGGATACAGGGTGGGCATTGGGCAGCAGCGTCCCAGGATACAGGGTGGGCATTAGGGGTCGGGCAGCAGTGGCCCAGGATACAGGGTGGGCGTCAGGCAGTGTCCCAGGATACAGGGTGGGCGTCGGGGGTTGGGCAGCAGCGTCCCAGGATACAGGATGGGCGTCGGGGGTTGGTCAGTGGTGTCCCAGGATACAGGGCGGGAGTTAAGTAGCTCAGTGTAAAATCACACCACCCAGGGCTTGTGTGGTTCATTTGAAACCTGACTTGTATTCATTGGAAATTTGTATTAGAAACTCTAGTGTTTAAATATATGGTAATAACCTAAGAGAAAATAGAACTATATAAAATAGTCACGGAAAGCACAAGACAGCAGTTACCCACAGGCAGGGCTGGCAGTGCCGATGGTGTGGACATGCCATCAGGAGAGATAGTCAGCTGATGAGAACAGGAAGCCAAGACCCAGCTGGACACTGCCCCAGAGGAGGGGAGTGCAGGAGATGTAGACAGGACGATGTCATTAAGTCAGAGTGCTGGGCTCACTGCCTGGCTCAGACTGCTCCACCTTCCTGCTGACACAGATAGCAATGGCTCATGTCCTCAGCTCTGCGCCCCAGGGGAGACTCCATCAAGTCCCCAGCTCTTGGCTCTGGCCCCAGCCCAGGATTGTGGGCGTTTGCAGGGTGACCTGAAGAAACAGACCTAGTGAATTTTTTAATTTTAGTTTTTAAATCTTGATGTGGAATAGTCTAAAACTCAAAATCAATGTCTTGCCTAGTGCTTGGCCACGTAGCACTGGCCTTGAGGACAAGGCCCAAGACTGCAGTGTGGTGTGCACAGGCCCCTCCTTTACCGTGGTCTCCGAGTGTCACCAGAGTCAGCAGATGGAGCATATAATGATCACGCATGGACACATAGCCCAGAGGGCACCTGACTCCCTGGGAAGCATGATTGTGTCCAGAGAAGGAATGGCAGGGCCAGAGGGCACAGCAACGCTCCCTCCTGGTGGTACAGAGATGGTCCAGACAGGGAGGTGAAAGTGAAGAGGCCCTAGGCAGACCACCCCACTCACAGTGCCTAGCCCATAGCTGGGAGCCCCATTCTCTCACACACAGGAACATTCCCCAGGGTGGACATAGCTGGGGGCCCCATTCTCACACACACAGGGCACTCCCCAGGGTGGACTGTCTGTAGGACCATGGGGCTAGTCTAAAGTGTGAAAACTTAAATGTTTGAGCCATAACAAACCAGGGACGGAAGGGCATCCAGAAAAGGCAAGGAAATGGGGACCAGTGGTGAGTGAAGCTAGACAAGGAAATGTACAAGCTGGAGACACATGAAAAAGGAA